ATCTTCCGAATACAAGTTCAGAACGCTAGGCATATGAGCCAGTTTGGTCGGCGTGTAGTGCTCGAAGAGTTTTACATTTTGTTACTTGAAAAATGTTTGTCCGATGAGACGTATTTGAGAAAGATGATAAAGCTAGGGTTTAGTTTAAACATGAATGAGGGATTATATTAGTCCGCTTAGAGCTTAAATCAAATTTGTAGCACAACTTGAAGTTTAGACTCTAATATCAAATTTCATGGGAATGTACTGAGTAATTTTGAGCTTAATCGTCCGTACTAACCTGATGTTCCCATCGGGCATGAACTTATTCTTAGTTTTTTGTTCAAAGGAATCTGCTATGAGAATGTCCGTCCTTGATTACCATGCGGATGGAATCATTTCCATGTGTGCGCCATCCTATGTAAGGCCCTGTTTCTGGAAGACTGCTCTCTCTCTCTCCACTGACGTCATGCAACACAGACCCAATGAATAGTGCCCTAGGCTGAGAATTGATGGAAAATAATTAACCCCTTAATAAGGGTGATTATCCCATACCCTCGAGGCATGCAGTAGTCCCTAAACTTATCATGCTTGGTATTTTCTGCGCTTTAATTAAAACCTAGTGAGGTAGACAGATATGCTATCACTAGAAAGTCACTAGTCACCAAACCAGCAGTATGAGAGACATACGATTAGTTAAACTCCGTAAAAGACTTATCTTCAAAAATATTTTAGACAGATAACATCCGCAAATTGGTTTTAAACTTGCTGGTGACATGACAATCATGGGAGCACAGGCTGGGTTCGAACGCTGAGTTGTGGTGCTACACTGTCAGAGGTTCCAATTTCATGTTCTGTATTCCTACAGAATAGTTCGGGGCGCGCTACTCCGAAGGTAACCTACTCGAGTCTCGGTGATGTAGGAATTAATGCTTATTATTTTTTTTTCTATCAGTCATTTGATAGTTCGACTACCTTCATGTAGATTCTAAAGTCCGAAATCCCAGTAGCTGTGAGTACCTTCATGTAATTCCTTTACAATTCAGTAACGATTCATTGATTCTTAGATGTTTAACGATACTGTTTCAAGTGCAGATATTATGTTGAGTCGAATGAAATTGTGACATGATCATGGCTAATTAGTATGTGTGACTGTGCTATATTTAAGGCACTCTCATGGCGTTTGTTGACGGTGTCTGAGGAATACCATAACAATCTTAGAATACGATACTTCTTAACCGACGTATATATGTATGGTAACACTTTGGGCATTATTTTTAAGGAAACCAAACTTTCCCTTTCTCGAGGACAATACAAGATTTATCATACAAACAGGGTTACCTGTACTTCCGAGTTGTAAGTGTTCAATAAATCAGTTTGTAGTCACTTGATCACGTGACAATATTCTCTCATCCCTCCATCTATTGTTTCTTCCTTCTTCTCCCTCTCATTTAGTTGCGTCCTCCCTACCGAAGGGGTTGGTTTAAGGGTAACACCATAGATTTATTTTTAGAGGTGCTTGATTCACATCTGGGCCTGGACACCTGCTATCCTGACTTCTTCCCTCCATGCAAATTCCGGAATATGATTTCGATTAGGTGACAATCGATTCCTTCCAAATTCTTTCTTGTTCAGCATTCATCGGTCAAAACCATATGACTGTATACACGTATGGTCCGGCTACTGACAGTGATGCAGAATTCTCTGCAAGGTTTTGGGCTTTCTTCTTACTTGTCTTCCTTTCCCTGTGTCCCTTCTTTTATTTTTCTCGTTTCTTTCTCCTTTTGTATCTTTGTTTCTTTTTTATTTGTTGTTTTTTTTCCTAAATATCTTCAACTCGGTCATTGACGCCTCAGATTTGTTTTAAGTCGTAACTGTTTTATGTTCAAGGGGCGGGAGGGAGAAAGCTCGATTGCAGAATCCCGTTCCCCACATTTTTTGGTTATTTAGTCCGATAGGTTGAATAGAAGAACGCACATCAATAGCAATTCCGTGTCGATAATTCGAACCCGCGAATCCAGCACTCGTCCCTCCATAATACGTGAGGGCTGTAAAAGTCACGGTCACTTGGATTGGCCTCATCTGTTTATTAGGCCATTTGTCAATGAATACTGAGACAGTAGGGTTCGGGCTGGAATAAAATCTCGAATTATTATAAAATTTCACCGCAATATCTTTTTTTTTTGCACTAAGCAAAATCACACGAAATTTCTAAATTTGTAACGCCGTTCACTGCTGGAACTCGAATACGTTGCATGTAAAGTATAAGGCAGGAACAAAATCACAGTATTCTGTAGGCCTGTGGCTTTTTCCTACCGAAAATATACCCCAATTTATAAGTTCTTCTGTCAAGTTTCTGAGAAAGTATTTTTTTTAGCAAAAGGCGGTAGTTCCGCGCCCAACCCCCAAGCTCTTATGACGTCTGCAATCGACAGCACACGATGTGAATTTATGCTTCATTGACTTATCTTTAAGTCAACCTCATTGCATGTTATCTAGTAAAATTACATAACCTCGCGTTATGCCCTCAGGCTAACCGTCCAGCTGTGGTCTGTATCTAGAAATCTAGTGTTCACGGTAACATTGAATAAGTTGCAATATATCATTTCCTTTTTTTTTCTTTTGTTTTACAGACAGTACTGTGCACACGAAGCAGATAATAGGTACAGAAATCCGGCTACAAAATACGTCAAGTGGCGGGAATAGGTGTATGGGGGTCGCCCCCCACCACAAAAAGTGGAAATCGGACTGGAAATTATTTTTCTCGTGGAAGAACAACTCCGACACGAACCGGCACGCCCATGGTCAAGTCGGCTGCAATGATAAGGCAATCGAGCCTCACCAAGCTGGGGGTGATGATCAACACAGCCGTGAACAGCAAACGAAATAGTAAGTTGAGTAATAAAATAATAAAGTCCTTCTATGCTCGATATGTACCAAAATAATTGAAGATATTCCAAAGGTATTACAGAGAAGAGCTACAATATCATTAACCTTGCTGTGTCCAAAATGTTTTTTAAAGTATATCTTCAGATATTGAAGTAGGCCGTTATGTCATTATTATGAAGTTACAAAATTCCATTTTCAACATAAGATTTGAAGGAAAATCACCATACCGCTTATCTCATGGAAGATACGGGACTTTTCTTCGGTGTGTTTGCCGACTTAAACCATGACATATTATCAGAGGTGCTGTAGGAAGAATTTATTTATTCGTACATTTTTATGCTTTAATAGTGTTTAAAAACTGCAAATCTATAATTTCAACTTCTTTTTGACTGACATGTCACACCAAAGTCAATCATAAATAAACTTCCACTGATAATATTGTGACGTGCTGCCTAAAAGCCGAACTATGGAGCATATTTCAACGTTCGTTGCAAGTCAACGGACATTATTTCCTAGACAGTGGAATAGAATGCAGCACTGGAATTCTAACAGTGAGTTTCTACGGTTACAACGAATTTTTGGAAGCGTTGTATGACAATGGAAAAACCAAACTGCTGAGAAAGGTGTTCCATAAGCGGTCCGCAAAAAACCTGTTTAAGGGGGTAGAATGGACCAGACAGGCAGTTGACAATTGAGAGTTAGTTGGGTTCTGGAAGATGCCGAGAACGGTTTAGTTTGGCTTCGACTATAGCAGAAGCAGTAATTATAACGGTGTTGTGAGAAACGTCTGACGACGTTATAAGTGGATGATAAGTGTACTTGTAAGTGTAGAGGAGATTGGCCAATAAACATATTTGCCAGATCCGAGACCTGCGTGAATTTATTTGTCGCGTTATATAGGCACCATGCGACAATAATATACAGAAATATTCCATATTTAGTGTGATCAGTAGAGAGAGAGACTGCCTTTGCTCTTCGTTAAAATCTGCTGCTGGATGAATTTTCACAGTAAAATGATTCACTGAAACTAGAACAAGAGCGCTTAATATCAAAATTCCTTGCTAATTGAGGCCGTACTAGGATCATTTTTCATGTTCGTTAAACATTTTGTTGCCTTGTGTTTGTTTTGGACTGTGAAGATGGTGTGTAAATAAATAAAGAATTGAAATGCATAGAAATACTGACTCAAGAAATTAATAACGAGGACTTCACATACCGATAGCTTGGGGAGCTTGCGGGCTTGATTTTCTTTTTCCTTTGTCATCAACCACTTATTTAAGTGTAGCTATTATAATACTGTCAACTGAGAAAAACTGTAATATTTGACTCAGTTGGGAATGTGAAGTGTATGAATATGAATACTATAATTGCAAGAACGGTGATGTTTCATATTTAGCATAAAATTCTGTAAATTTTATTTCTGCATATTGGAAAATTCACACCGAGAGATAGTTGCGTTAAGAATAGGCGTAGATATTCGTATGAAGATCACGGTCTTCTGGGATGTGATACTTTGGTATGCAGGTACCGGGTTATAGGAGGAAACTTTTACCGCCAGCTTTAAGGCAGCTGTTCCATCCCGAAGATGGAGTCTCCGGATTCCTTCGAAAGGTCCGTATCTGTCTTGCAAACTACTCGGCATCACATACCAAAAGCTCAGAACATTAAATTCTACAAGAACATATGCATACTGACAAGAGCAAAATGTTTAGGCCTACATGACATTTATTTCAGAGTTTTTCTAGGATGTTCAGAATTATGTGTTAAACTGAATGTACAGATTTCCTAGGGTCATTACGCGCGAAGTTGCCTGTTTCTCGGGGCGGTCTTTGGTATAGTACTGCCATCTCTAGCAAATTTCATGTACTTCCTTTTCCAAGGAGGTTGGAATTATGGGTCGCATTTATCGACTGTACTCGAAACGTACTTTCTATATGATTTTATCGTTTACAGTCATTCAGCTGCGGTGTCGAATAAATATTTATAGATTATAGTGTACTAAGATAATTACACAACACTATAAATAATAGTTCCGAAACTGAAATCGTATGCTAACTTCAAAACAGTGATTTCTTTGGAGCCCTTGATAACGCTTTACGATAGTCAATTTTTCTTCTGAGTTTTGCACCGTGTATGACGTCACAGTCGTTGTTTTGCACTCGTGAGTGCCGCCATTGCGTGTAGGTGTTTTATATTGAAATGTGACAAATCCCCTTTCATCGGTTTCCCTATTCAACAGAAATTCTCATTGTCCCTTACATATAATTTAGCATAAACAACAAGATACGGGAAAGTTGTCCCCAGTATCTGATATGGCTGGTAAGTATTATATATGGGTGCGATTTGTTGTGAGACATAATTGGTTCTTGTATTTGAAGACGAAGATGGTTAGGTTCGAGTGGCTATTAAAATGAATGGTACATACAGTTGTATTATGTGGTGTCTTATGACGTACATGTGGGTGTGTATTGTGCGTATCGTAGGTCACTTTGTTTACCAATAATTGTGGTTAACAGGTAATGGGGAGATCCAGTGGTGCTTTTCACAGGTGAAAGGGACGCTTGATGACGATGTGACAGAAGGCAAGTTTTAAATTCTATTCCTGCATGGTTCTCTTAAATGATCAGCTCTTCGTATCGTGTGTATGCAAGAAATACATACAGTCGCATTCACGAAAATGTATGCTAGAAGCATGTTTGAGCGGAAACTTTGTAAGTGTTCACGTTTCATAAAGTGCATGTGTTTTGCATAAGCGTAAGTAAGTCCGATGTGTATTTTATAGTGGTTGCAGTGACTGATAGATTTACATTCAACCTCAAACACTGTATTTAATTAATATGCAAGACTTACATAAGGGGTTAAAGTTCAATGGAGTGCCATCAGAGAACCTAACTCCATGACGAATATAAGTAACAGCTAAACCGTTCAAACAGGGCTTAAGTAAGTCATAATTAATCTGTATTGGGAATATTTTTAGTGAGTATTTTCTGTTGCACTCATTGTAGATAATTTTGTTTTTATGCAACTATTTCGAGTTTTTAAGGTAAAAGTTTTATTTCTTCCAGCTGATATTATATCATGTGTAGAATTCAATCATGATGGGGACCTCCTGGCAACGGGAGATAAGGGTGGGAGAGTTGTCATCTTCCAGAGAGATCCTATTGTAAGTATTTAAACTTTACATACTGTTGCTTTAAACCTGTATCTAACAAGGAAACGAGTAGTAAATAAATGTATTTCCTGATGTGTCAGGCTTTGTGGGGTGTGGAGGTTAGGCATGGTGGTAGAAAGAAGTTAGTGATATTCCCACCTACTGCAAATTCTGGTCATTCAATAAGTAACACAAGTGCAGAGTTGTAAATGTTGTAGGAAGTCATGAGAATGACATGAACTGTATGGTTTATGAATTTCAATTTTTAACAAAGTTTTTAAAACTTTAAAAGAACTTTAAATATTTCTATAACCAGAAAGGCTGCTGTGACTGATAGATGGAACATTGTGTACTTGGACATTACATGTGAATTTGATATGACAACTGTTGTGATAGTAGTTTCAAAAAAGTGTTTGGTGCCTCTGAAGATGATCCAAATGGATCGAAACATGTAAGACTAGTGAATCATCAAGTGAGGTAACTGAAATAGTCACATTGGACAGACTTGTCTTTTATAATTGTAACTGTTGGTGTGACGGACCAAAATGAAAGAAATCAAATTCATGAGAATGAAGTTGAAACATACCTAGATCATTATTAATCAGTAGGAGTGGAAAGATAAAAGGTAAAGATATTGGAAGTGGTAAATGAAAATCTGTTGTGAAGTCAAAATATGTAAACTTTAGCTGAAAAATGTTTTCATTATAGTTGAGATAAAGCAGTTCTACATTATATTAATGTAGAATTGAAGATTTTGTGTCTTACATTTGCTTACAATGACTGCCTATGAAGCAACAATAAGAGAAAGAAGGGCAATATAATAGTACAGTTACCTCTCAGTTGTATGATATTCAGGTGTCTGGAATTTTCATGTAACCAGCAGATGTTTCAAAGAAAATTTACCATTTTTATAAAAAAAACTTAGAGAATGTGGCTGTGTGCCTACATTCACCCACCATGTGGTAGTTCTAGCAGCCACTATTAGTGCTGTCCGTTGTTCTGCATCATGCAGCTGTCATTACTGATGATGTTAGTTGAATTTCTGCTGTGTTATAATATACGTGTAGTATTTCACCCATCACTTCACAGTGCACTTCATTATAACTCCCCCCCCCAATATTTTTGATACTANTATAGGCTTGTCTACTAGACTGTACTGTATTTGATTTGTCTTTCTCTCGTGTGACAGGCAGCTTTATGTAACTGGCACACTTCATTTGCCAGCATGCTGGATAAAGGAGAGTTTACTGTATCAGGGAGCATGTGCATATCATATTCTCTAAGAATTGGCATTCAAGTAACCCAAGTACATACATAAGCTAGCAAAGCATGGACAGCACTATGACACATTCTGCTTAAAATTGTTGTACAGGTACTACATTACAGGAGGAATGTTATTACATTGATATTTATTTTTCTTTCAGAGCAAGAATTGCATTCCTCGACGAGGGGAATACAATGTGTACAGCACGTTCCAGAGCCACGAGCCAGAATTCGACTACCTCAAGAGTCTTGAGATTGAGGAGAAAATCAACAAAATCAGGTGGCTGAAGAGGAAGAATCAAGCACATTTCCTATTATCTACTAATGGTATGACCATTTTTTGTGATATTTTATCTTCAGATGTTAGGACTATAATATACTCACTTGATCACATAATTTGTACACTGTGTTTCGTTGCAAAACAAGAAATTTCTGTGGGTTTAAAGCAGTCCATTCATGTATGAAATATAGCATAGGTGAACATTTCTGTTGCCAAAGTCTGAAAAGAGTAGATGTGGCCTTATAAGCTGTGCAGTTTTTGTGAGAATTACTATCTCGTTTCTGTGCATGGTTTTGTGACATTACCTTGAAGCAGATGAATGCTACGCCCATACAATGAGTAGGTATTACATGAAGATTGAGTTAATGAATTCAATAAACTATTTTCTGTCATTAGTTAATCCTGCACAGGGTTTCCATACCCCCCTTTTGTGGAGGAAAAAATGTTTCATTTGTATTCAAGGGTCAGCTTTTGCTGATGGACCATTTTCATAAATATAATTTCATGTTTTTGGCCATGATATTTTGGGGAAAGAATGCAGGTGGATTATTCAATGAAATGCAATATTCTTGATTTTTCTCTGAAACGTCTTTGAGGTTATGTTTGTTCCTTGAGTAGGCATCTTTAAAGAAGGAGAAGTTATGTTTGCATTTGACAAGATCTGCAGATTGGAAATTTTGGTTTGTCATTTGTTGCGAATAGAATTTAGTAACTTTGTAATGATGGTGTACTGATCTCTTTCATTATCTGACACCGATACATCCTCTGAGATGTTTTAGATGCACACTTATCTGGACTCTTGTAGGAAAGAGAACACTGATATGTTAATAATAATTTTGTCTTCAACTTGTACATGTTATATCACAAACTGTTAACACAGTTGTTACAGACATGACCTCAGTAATTACAACTTCATCAGTTGCGATGTAGGGTCATGTGGGGAGGAATTTGGTCTTCTCAGACTCACCATAATTGCTTAAGTAGTAAAGTCTGAAGAGCACTATGCATCATACTAGTAGAAACATGTAGCAAGAAGGTGAGTGGGAAGTGGGATCTCAGTTTGCAGATATCATTGCTTACAATAATCTCTGGTTTTTTCACCCTTGATAAACTTCAATGAAAATCGCAGAGATGTGTGCTCAGATAATATGCAAAAAAAAAAAGATTTTTTTCTTAATGATGAAAAAGAACAGTTCCCTGGTTTTCAACGAAACTCGTGTACATGCTACAGAACATACCTGAGTATGTGAATAAAAATATTTCTTCAGTTCAGTTGATTTTGTTATAGGGGAAAATATTTTACATTCTGAATGTTAAAGATTGTCATTTTTACATTTATATCACCCGCTCTTTGAATGTATTAAATATTGTTGTGGTAAGATTTGTCAGATCCACAGAATGGCCACCAAATTTTACAGATTTAAATCCATCTGGTTACCATGTTTGGAGTAGACTTGAACAATTAGTGTATGGAAAACAGAGAG